AGATTTTTGTTTGCCTTAGTGCCCATATCTTCGAGGACGGCTTCCAGTTTCTTGCGATTACGTCCAGCAATGCCCCATTTCAAATCAGCCAATACGGAAACTGCTTCAAATACTGTGTATTTACCGGTAAATCCCGAAGCACCAAATATGATTACATCCAAACGTTCCGCCATACTGTGTACTCTGCTCTTCTACACTTTCTTCTCTGCCAGTAACACCTCTACAAGACTTTTTCTACAAGTACAAAACAAGAAATGTCAATGAAACATCGTTCCCACATTCTTATCTCAAAATAACAGAAGAAACACGAAAGACGCAATCTATCACACTTTGACGTTCACGAAAAAAAGATTGGTGGATTCGGTTGTCGGAAATGACCTTTGTCTCAAACCCCCCAAAATCGATGTGTGATGACTTAATAAAAGAACGACATTTCAATTATAAAGTAAAAAAAATCTCAATTTCAAAATTTCGTAAAGGTTACACACCCACTTGTTAAAACTTGTTTATTTTACGCGGAATTTTAAAAACTCGAACTCGCTTGCAAGGCAACGCCCAGTGTCAATAATGAATGGATTTATTGTTTGCTTTAGAAATTTGCCAAATAAGAATTGCAAATAGAATGCAAATAAGACCGGCAACAATAATACGGACCGTAAATATGAGTGACTGCACACAGACTTGTCATTTTCATTGCATACTTTGTATCGGATAATCGGAGAGAAATTCTGTTATCGACTTATAATATATTCGTACGTCATACTCCAAGCGAGAGCTTTGCCTAAATGACTACTTGTCGGCAGCTTTACGATGTGTAAAAACATGTGTTATTTTTGAAAATTGAAATCCAAATCAGTATACCTACCCCAGTCAGCATTTTTGACTGTTAATTGATAAGGAGATGGTATGGTTTTAATGAATGTTTGTGGAATTTAATCATTTTCTAAATTTATTAATTTGCAAATATTCTTCATTGATTCTTAAATACCTTTAAATTTAATTGAACAAAAATAGTTTTGTATTTTATATTAATTTCAAAAGAGACCAAACGACAATATTGTCATTATATACCCTCCATATGCATAGAGGATATATTAAGATCGTCATTCTGTTTGTAACTCATCGAATCAGCGTACAATTCTAAGACGATTTAGGCCTGTCCATCCATCAGACGGACTGTTGTAATCACGCTAGAGTCAAAACGAAATAAGATAGGAAGCTGAAATGTATCAGTCATTTGTGTGCAGACACGTCGAGTTCGAAGATGGGCTATATCGGTCCACGATATTGTATGGTATGGTAACGGTACCCCCAGATATTCGGTATTTTGATGATTTAAGGCACATTTTTCAATGGAATTGTCTGAAATTCTACGCAAGGAGTTCCTTGTGGGTACTTCCCGCCTGTAAGAGAATTGTCTATATATGTCCACGATATCTTAAACGGTACCTCCCGTACTTTTCAATCGAATTGTCACAAAATACACACAAGGAGTTCCTTCTGCGTACTTTACTTCCTGGAAGAGAATTGTATATATAGGTCCACGATATCGTAAGTCCACCATATAACGGTACATCCCGATATTTGATATTTTGATAATTGTAATTAAATTTTTCAATGGAATTGTCTTAAAATCCTCACAAGCGGTTCCTTCTGAGAAGTTGCTCCCCGGAAGAGAATTATCTATATAGGCCCACGAAATCGTATACCCCCCATATAAAAGTACCTCCCGATATTCGGTATTTTAATGATTTTAGCCACATTTTCAAATGGAATTGTCTCAAAATCCACACATGGAGTTCGTTCTGTGTACCTTACTCCCTAGAAGATGATCCGGTTGCACGATTAAAAAGCTGGAATATGAGCGCATTTTCTGATCATAAAAGACTCAGTTGTCGGGAGAAAAACGTGACCTCAAATCACATATGAGTCTTCCTCTAGATTAGTTAAGAGTCTTTTTCGACCATTTTCTAATCGTTCTACGAGTCTTTTTCGAATCGTTTTCTAATCATTTATTGCGCTAAAACGCTTAATTTGTGAATCTTTTTCGAGTCTTTTTTAAGTCATTTTTTGATCATTTATGAGTCTTAAGTGAGTAATTTATTAATCGTTTAAGTGTCACATATCACTCATATGTATAGTCATTTAGGAGTCTTTTATGAGTCCCCTTTGTCTTAAATTCGAGTCATTTATGAGTCTTATATGAGTGTTTACGATTTTACGAATCACGCACGTGATTTTTTTAATATTCGGATGTACCGTAAAAAAAGAATTTAATTATATATGTTCATATAAAAATTTATTTAAAATAAAAATAATTCAACTTTTATGACTATAATTTGTACTGTAATATCAATAAATGCGATTGTAAATATGAAAAATATAGTAAAAAATAATATATATATAATAATGAAATAAAAAAATGAGAAATCAAATAATAAAAAATCAGGAACTGCAATCGGGCCGTTTTCTATTTGTAACGCGGTCTCTAGTGTGAACAAAATGTTTTTGTAGGATTGTTTTCATATCCTTGTCGTTGCTGGAGTATTTGAGATGACACATATCTGAAATAAAATATGTACAAGTCTGTCCATTTTACTAATTCTTTATATACGTGTTAAAAAGACAAAGTTACTTTTGATTGCTGTAACTTTATTTACTTTTCTGCACTCAGATTTACCCTGTCCCCTTCCAGCTGTATTGGCAGGCTAATTTATCTGAAAAAACCTTTTTTTATAGTTTATAAAGTAGTGAATTAATCAATCAAATACCCAATTTTCTATACTTACAAATCAAGTTCTGTCTCATTTTGCTTCACCAATTCACGTTTCTGGACATTTCTTCATTTTTCTCATATTCAGTTTTATTTCTTTTTTGTAAAATTAAATTTTCTACCTCTTTTTGGCCATCGTTTTTATTTTAGCCTTTTCTATTTTTGTAATTTAACTTGCTGACATTTTCTTTATAAAAATTAATAAATAAACAAAGAGATAGACGTACACTTTTTCAATTCTCGGCGAAACACTCGCTTGAGGTGATCGACACTTTGGTATTTTTTAGTGCCAACCTAGCTTTCCAAAATACTTCAGGCACAATAGTCCAACGGATTGGTATCCGGAGATTTTGGTAGCCATTGTGTTCTGGAAATGAAGCGAGGAACCTCATTTTGTAACCATACTTGGGTGCTGTGTGCGATGGTGCTGATTGCTGTTGTCCAAGGTCTGCGGCCAAAATGTTTGCGTCCCCAGGCTTTAATACATCCTCCAGAATATTTTCGGGATAATATTCGGCCTTTATTCTGATGCCACGGTCGATTAATACGAGCGACCATCGGCTGTCATGGCAGCCCATACCATCACCATGGCCGTCGCTTGAGTTCTGGTAGCCAACCGATGGTGCACATTTTCAGCTGACCTCTTTAGCAAGTCAACACGATCATTTTGTTTGTTTACAAACTGCTGGACAACGAATGTTTTCTCATCGGAGAAAACCAAGTTCAGCAGTTCACCACATTCGGCCAAGCAAAGCTACTCTTTAGCTCTTTTGAGTCTATTTTCTTTCCGCTGCAGTGTAAGTTTTTGTACTTGAATTTCAATGGCTTTACCCCGAGCTCATTTTTCAATATTTGCCGAATGGAATATTGCGATATGTTCAGCTCACGAGCCATTTTTCGACCACTGCGACGCGGGTTTCGATCAAATCGCTTCTTTACTTTTCGAACCATTTCTGCTGATGTTGCTGTTTTCTTCCGTCCACTTTCTTAACGTAAAGAAATTGACGCTTGAATTCCATCACGAGTAACTTTTTTTCTGGAAAATTCTCATCAAAACGCTTTTGTACGCTTGTAAACAATATAATGAGCTGTCACTGGAATAATTTTAACAGCTGTCGGAAGAGTGGCTTAGGAGTGTCAGCAGTCTGAAGTTGGTTGCAGTTTTTTTCTCCTCACCCTGTATTACATTACCTTCTGATAATCGGTACTTTGAAGATGCGGCCAACATTTTCCTGCCTAAACAGCTGTAATTAGGTATTTCCGTTTTTTTTAGTTGGTCGGTTAAATCTTCACGAAATATATTCAATATAGAGTCTGTTAAATTTCAAACTTGGTTTTCATTAAATTGAGCATTTTGTAACACGGATGATTTTTCTCCCTCTTGGGTAATGTATTATGTCTCTTCAAACGACTTTGTACTTCGTAGATAATGACATTTTATAAGTAGTGACGTCTGTAATTGTCCCCTTTTCAGTATTCTGCCAACTCTACGATTAGTAATAAACTTTAGATTACGTCCTACCGCCAAAACCCCTTTGTACAAAGTTAAGTCAACCGCGGTTTTGAGTTTTTATTTTTCTCCAATTCTTCTACTTTAAACATGGCAACAGAGTTACTATTTGGTACAGTCCCATACTGAAGTACTTATTGATATTAGGTACTTCGAATGTTTAAGTCACAATTTCCAACCGCATTGGCTGTACTTTGCCGCTATTGTGTGTTAGTGTATGACAATTTTCCTATATCCGTCTACTTTTTTGGAATAGCTTTAAAAAGTGCAATTGATCGATTTCAAGAGTTGTAAGATCCAAAATTTAAGCGATATTAAAACATCTAATTTCAGAATAACTTCAGTTTTCACAAGAAATTCCATTAAGCCAAACATATCTTTATTTTTACTTGTTTTTATTTGCTTTTTTGCTTTTCACAACAAAACTTCCTATTGGTATTGGAGTCATTAGTATTCAAGTTTTGCGGTCTCTTTATTTATTACTTTTTCTAAATACTTACCGATTTAAATGAAATAACACAACTTGCAGATAGCAACTATTTTGGAAAAACTCAATAGTGAGGCAAATTATGTTTCTCTTTATTTTCGAAAGGATCATTTATATATTATTTTTGTTATATTGTTTTCTTTTCATTTTGTTTTACGACAATAAGTAACTATTTATATGTGTTGTTTACGTTTTTTTATCTCAATACTTATTACGGTTTTATTTAAAAATTTTGTGTAGTAATATTTACAAAACGAAAAAAATCCTATAAAAATATTGCATATATTTTCCAATACTTGGCCGAAAGGCATTACAGTGTGTGTTTGATAAAGTGGTGATTAAAAAATAACGAAAATGTAAGTTAAAAAAGATATTGGAATAAAAGTATACAAAGAAATTCTTTAAGTTAATTAAAGAAAAGTTTCCCAAAATTTGTTTTCCGTTTTCTTTTCGCGATCGTCTAATATACCGATATACTAAAACACATCGAGTTACTTTGAATTGTAAAAATTCATATCCTGAAAAGTGATAATCATTCAAACCTACATATGGTGAATAGAACTCTCCATAAAAGATACCATCTCTATATAAAGACGAAGTAAGGGTGGTCTTAGTAGTACTCATAATTATGGAGTTACCGATGGGCGCGAAATGACGAAACGCCCCTACCACACCTACCTGGCTTAGTCCGGAAGATTTATGTGAAAATCTCACACAAGTATCTGAAATTTACATTTGGATTATGAACCATAACCACATTAGCAGAACAAACACGTCGATAACTATGCTACTAATCCAAATTTATTTGTTTCGAAGTGCCTTTGGGCCCAATTAGGGTCGGGCTTTGGACGCATTCGAAATTTTCTTCAGAAGGGAAGTAATGGAAAAATATTCTATCACAAAGAAGTATAAAAACTATCCTTGCTTTCATTCCATAAAAATGTTTGTTCAACGTATACAGGGTGAGATGAAAAAACTGCAACCAACTTCGGACTGCTGTCATTTCTAAACCACTAGTCCGACAGCTGTTAGGATTATTCCAGTGACAGCTCATTACATTGTTTACAAGCGTACAAAAGCTTTTTGGTGAGAATTTTATAGAAAAAAAGTTATTCGCGATGGAATTGAAGCGTGATAGTGTGATTTCTTTATATTTGGCTGGAAAACCGCAAGTGGCTATCATTAAAGCACTCCAGCATTAAAATGTGAATTAATCTTTTGTGTCTCGTACCATCGCTCGTTACCGTGATACAGGTAGCGTAGCCCGTAGCGACTTGATCGAAACCCATGTCGCAGTGGCCGAAAAATGGCTCGTGGGCTGAACATATAGCAATATTTCCATTCGGTAAATATTGAAAAATGAGCTCGGGGTAAAGCAGTTGGAATTTCAAAATTTGCAAGAACTTATACCGCAACAGAAAGAAAATAGACTCAAAAGAGCTAAAGAGTAACTTTGCTTGACCGAAAGTGGTGAACTGCCGAATTTCGTTTTCTCCGATGAGAAAACATTCGTTGTCCAGCAGTTTGTAAACAAACAAAATGATCGTGTTTACTTGCCAAAGACGTCTGCTGAAAATGTGCCATAACAGCCGATGGTCGCTCTCCGCTCGTATTAATGGACCGTGTCATCAGAATAAATGCCGAATATTATAGCGAAAATATTCTGTAGGGTGTACTAACGCCTTGGGCACGCAAACATTTTGGCCGCAGATCTTGGACATTCCAACGGGACTCGCCCCACCCACGAATGGTTACAAAATTATGTTCCTCGCTTCATTTCCAGCGGACAATAGCCACCAAAATCTCCGGATACCAATCCGTTGGTCTATTGTGTCTGGAGTATTTTCGACAGCAAGGTTGACACCAAAAAATACCAAAGTGTCGATCACCTCAAGCAAGTGCTTCGTCGGAAATGGGCCAAAATACCGCAGAGCAACATTCGGGCAGGGTGTGACGGTTTCATTGGCCGTGTAAAGGCCATAATTCGTGCAATGGTGACCAATTCGAACAAATCTAAACTTATTCTAAAATTTGATGCTATTTCCGACATTTTTTGCTTTGATTCAATAAAAATTTTTAAAAAAATGTAAAAATTATGGCGTTTGACTTTGTTGCAGTGTTTTTTTATCTCGCCCTGTATTAACGATCTATTTATTAAAAGAATTGTTTGTTCTATAGTTTTTTCTTGGTGTTTTAATTTAAAAATAAAAACTTACAAACGAATTTAACAAATTATTTTAAAACAATAAAATGTAGTTTCTTTTTTTCTAAAATAATAATTTTCGAAAAACTAAAGTAAATGAGAAAATAATATACAGTTGCTTTAAAATTATATACATGTAAATTATAAAAACTAAAATATAATTTTAATAAAGTATTATAACCAATGTTAGAGGAAACAAATAAAAAAGAAAAACAAAACATTTTAGTGGTTATGTCTTATTAAGATATGAGAAGAGTAGAAAAAAGGAGATTGTGGATTTGATTTAAGAGTGTTGGTTTAGAGAGATTGAAAATATTAGTGTATATATTTCGTTTAGTTCTTTTTTTCTAACTGCATGTTTTAATTAATAATTTGTTTTTATTTTTGTTAATTTAAATTGTTATTTTTTATTACATAAATTATTTTAATATTTGTTGTTTCTTTTCTATGGTTTCTTCTTTAGGGGGTTACAATATCACTTGTCTACATAATATGTAATTAAATATATATAATAATGTATATATAAATATTTAATGTAATTTTGTCTCCATTATTTTTTGTTTTTTGCCTAATACATTCCAAAGTACATTGTATAATATGATGTATGTATAAAGCTTCAATTTTCATATTATAAAAGCGTAAAACATAATATTAACTTAAAAATGAAAAAAAAAAGAGTAACATACTTCATTGTTTTTCTCCTTAGAAAAATCATATCTTTAAAAGCTTTATCTTTCTTATCTAAAGTTCTGCTTTATCATGCGTTTGCTACATAAAATGTTCACTTTTGCGTTTTTTGGTGGTGGTGTTATGGTATGGTTCTATGATTTCCTTCTTTTTTTGTTGTCTTTTGTTTTTAATAAGTTGTTGAATACAAATTTAATTATGCTATATAATTAATTTTTGTTGTTTTCCATTTGTATACAAAATATATAAAAACTAAAAGATAAATTGATTTTTTTTTTTTGGTAAAACATATATTAGTGAGGACAAAAGGGGTTAGGGGTTAGGTTAAGGTGTTGAATTTTTATAAACAATCTTTGTTAATAAAACATTGGTGTTTAAAACAACAATTGCATGAACTTAACTTAACGTTGACTAACATGCCACACAATCAAATAGCTTTTGTCGCCGCGATTTTCGATTGTCTGATTCTGCTCCAAGTTAATGCTTTTCTCCATATCATTATCATCTGCAAAAAATTATGGAAAAACATATTAGTTAAAATAAAATGTTAAAAAATAGTAAAATAGTGCAACGAGAAGCTGTTAATATTGTTAAAATTGCAATTGCAATACTGTTTGCCATATGTGTATGGTGTTTTCCTGGTGCACGTTTTGTTTGCTATAGAATTATACACAACATATTGATGATGGTAGATTTTAGAAACATTCATGGAATATTTTTGCTGCAAAATAAAATACACATAAAGCCAATTTTGTGGTTACATAGATTATTGATGTAACCCCTCTACACCTATCTAATTTGTGTTTTTTTTACAATGGCCTATATCCCCATTCGTTTGAGTGTAAAAATCTTTGCAAATAAGACAAGAAATACCAGCAGATTTACCGAAGGTAATCCTTGTCTAACTATTATACGTTATTTTAAAATCTAGGCAATATTATAATCTCCACCAAAGTATATACGTTATATTTCGCCCCGAAAAATAATTGAAGATACAAAAACTTATTGTTGATCAGAGTTATTTGACCCAACCAACCAAGAATATATTCATGATCAACTTACAATTTTATCCTAATTAGCCATGTGCGTCCGTCTGTTGTTATCACGCTATCTTTCTAAAGAATTGAGTGCTGAAATTTGATACACTTGCGTTTTTTGGGTCTGAACTTAGATCAAGATGGGCTATATTGGCCAACATTTTCATATTTCTACTATACAGGGTGAGATGAAAAAACTGCAACCAAGTTCAGACTGCTGTCATTTTTAAGGCACTCGTCCCACAGCTGTTAAAATTATTCCAGTGACAGCTCATTATACTGTTTACCAGCGTACAAAAGCATTCTGGTGAGAATTTTCCAGAAAAAAAGTTATTCGTGATGGAATTCAAGCGTGGTAGTGTGATTTCTTTATATTTGGCTGGAAAACCACAAGTGACTATGGTTAGAACCATGGTACAATGAAGAGAAGGTAGGTCAACTTTGAAAAAATTGCAAGTATAGAGGCCTACCTGTTTGGCTTGTAATGTCAGAATTAGTATCAAAACAATAAAAAATCAAACAACTTGTTGCATTTATTTTGAATAAATAATTGAAAAACGCGATAACTGAATGAAAGGTCAAAACTTCTTTTCAAAATCATGTACTATATATCTCTAAAGGATTATTTCGCTACAAAAACTCTAGATTTTGTAGATGCATACGTTGAAATAAACATTTTGAAAACACCCGAATTTGAATATTTTCTGAACAATTTTTTTGTTATTGAAAAGAAAACACATACATAAACAAATAAAGATGACATATTAAGCCAAGAAAATAAAAAAATTGAAATCATATGGTAGTTCTGCCCTACCTTGAATTCATTGTACCATGGTTAGAACACTTTTTTTTGGAAAATGTTGGACTTTTTTTCGGGGAAAAGTTTATTGACATAAAATCAACCTATTTTTTTTTTTTTTTGGAAATACAGCGATATTCTAACGCTGTATTGCATGGAGTTTGAAAAATAGCATTTTGTTAGAGAAAAACGATTTAAAACGTTGACACTTTACAAGGGATGCACTAGAAGGAGTTTATTTATTTATTTTCTCAAATGACAAAAAGGGCTACCCTGCAAATAATTCTGCACTACATGATCCATTGCAGCAGCCATTGTCGTTTGCACATTAAGTTGTGTTTTTTGCAGGTAGAGTTATGACGTGGGGTTTGTTTTGAGATTACTTTGCTGTAATGCAAAGCATATATGGTCCAATCCAAGGACCTCGTATTGTTAAATCTGTTAGGGTTTTCAATGTATTTGGGTTATTTTGGGTCTAGCCCTTGTTATTGTGTTATGTTATTGTATTTAAAGTTTAGACGAAAACGGATACCCGCTTTGATATTAATAGTGTAAATTATTTTTTTTTTGAATATATTGACATTTTGTGGGAAGGTATATTGGCCGTTTTCGAACTCGATCTAAGTTCTTTAAAAATATTACGATGTACCAAGTTTGGAATAAATCAGATGCCACCTGCGAGAGTTATCGTGCGCATATCGTCAGACGGACCCCGCTAGATCGAATGCAAATGAGGTTAAACGGATTAGGTCTCTTTAGACCTAGGGTCTGAGACCCTTATATCGATGAGGCAGTTGTGAGGGATTATATTGTACTAGTTGGTCTCTAACGAGAAACCACTTTCACAATACAAACATGCTCGTGTCAGACGTACAAACTATTCGCATAGAGTAATGAACGCCAATACAGCATAAATTCAATATTTCAACGGCTTGTTAATATTTCAAAATTTTATTTTTACTCATACACTTAAAACGACATCTGCAAAGTCGATTTTTTCGATGATAAGCGATGAGAGCATTCTGTCGTCTGTACATTTATTAGGTCCACAAATTGAACACTCTTCATTAGAAGAGTATCCGAATAGAACAACAATTATAATTTTACTGATGTCTTATAAAACTATTACAACCTGTCGAACGTCTTAAAAGGCTGGCAGTGCATTGAGTAGTTTATCCGAAACCAAAATATATAAACTCAATATCGAAATAAGCAAGTGTTTACATATACACAATATATGTAGTTACAGGATATATTTTTGCGGAATAATTAAATAAAATAAAATATATATTCTTTTTAAAATCTGCGCATATTTGGTAGTTGGATTTTGTTATAAAATCTATAATTAATCATTTTATTTACAATTGACACGGAATTGTATTAGAGGAACTACAAACGTTTTGTGGAAAATGCTAAACGAACGACATAATATTACACAGCTTTCTTTTTTATATTTGCGTAAGATTTTGTTTAAAAAATCAGGTAGTGGGTAGTAACTCATTCAAATAAGTTCGTTTAGCATTTTACGAAAAAATCTTAAAAGAAGTATATATATATTGAATAAAATACCAAAACCGAAATATGTGTGTGTCCTCCCAAAAGTATTTAATCAATTTAACAATTGTGTAGAATAAAAAGAATAAAACAAAAGTGCATAAAAGTAAAAAATGCAAATAATGCCGAAAAGCCAATGTTTTGTGACCCACGTATTGTTTAGGTGTGCAAAATTGAGCAACAAAACACCAATTCGTTTGAATTTTGGAAAAAAAATTAAAAATTATATAAACCTTTCTTAGCCGGGATTTAGCAAATTTCAAAAATCAGGTCACATTATACTCCACTTTTTGATTTGTATTTCATTTTTGCAATCATTTGGTAGATACAACAAATAATTTTTAAAGACGACAACAACTTATATAGACGCTAATATGGCGCATACGTGAAACACAAGATTTTCATCATCAGTCGAATATAGTTTAAGAACAACAATTTTCAAAGTTGTAAGCCAACTATAAATTAAACGTTCTAAACAAATAACAAAAACAAAGAGAAAATAAAACGTTAGTTTTGCGGCATTTTGTTTTTGAAACGAATGTTATAACAAATTATTTTTTTTTTCAACAACAATAAAAAAAACATAAAATTAAAACAAAAAAATTAAAAAAAGGAGAATTTCTTACGAATCAACTTTCCAAACTATCAAATGCGCAGCATTATCACTAGCATCAGTTACAGATCTTTCTTGTCCTGTGATATGAACAATAAAAAAATGTAAATTATATAAACAAAATAGTCGAGAAACCAGACCAAAAACTAAACTAATTTCTATAGGCCACTACATACAAGATTACAATTCGTAATAAGAACGGGATGGAATGGGTACTTACTTATGCGAAAATCAATGTAACCTTCACCGCCACACATTACCAACATATCGGGCCGTTTGTTAGTAAATTGTAATTGAGCGCTGTTGTTTTGTCGCAACGGTACCGAAACAAAGAACTTAACTGCATCCCTATGTCCGTGGAAGGACAATTGAGCATTTGCCATACAGCATGTTGGCAATTGAGTACTGGGATCACCTGAAATTGAAAAAGGAAAGAGTTTAATAAGAATGATTAATTAGGGAATTTAAAAAAAATATTGCAGCCTAATAAAGGAAACCTAAAAATCAATATGATTAAATCCTCGCATTCGATATCGAAGAAATTTTGATAAAAATAACTATTTTAATAGACACCACGATGGTGTAACTCCGAAATTCGATATTTAGTTGTTTCTGTCCGAAATTTTAAATTTTATAAGGCTAAAATTGACACATTTAGATTTACTTCGATTGAAGTTTTGAAGGTTAGAGACTATTCTAACGCTTAACTCGCTAATACCTTTGAAGAATTGAATATTACTGTCATATTTTCATCACAAAGGGGCGAGTCGCTCCAGAAAACCCAGAGCTCACGTGAGGTCTAGTGTCGAGGAGGGCAATACATCGATCAATCATATTCCAGCGGCACTTGTGAGAAAACCCCTTACAAAATCCTACTATCCCCGAAGACCTTGTGCCTTGGAGGCTCGATAAAGTTCTGCAAGAAGTTTATCCGACAATATTATCTTCAGATTAAGGAGGGGGAGGGAATCCCGTACAAAATGACCTTTAGGCATTTCGAAAAGTATCTACCTAAACTACCTAAGAGTTCTCTTGATCCCGATTCCTTTCCACTCTCTTCTACAGACCTTGGAAGGAAGACTAGTCCATCTGTGACCCAACCTTCCGTCAAGGGTTCCGTGTCAGTCAGCAGTTATATTGGTATGACTGCTTCTACTGTAACACAAACTACGACATTAAGTGCCGACTCCACAGATACTAAAGTTGCAGCCAAAAAAACACAGAAGGCACAAGGCAAAGGAAATGGACTTGGTGGTTACTCTTCAACACACACAACAATGAAGAGATTGCGGTCCACACAAGAACCATATCCGGACCCTAAAAAATCTTCGTTAGGTCAAGGCTAGGACTTCTTTGCCACCACTTCTTTGCCGACTTCCATTTCGGCTTCTATCTATTTTGTGACCAGGTCGGCTTCTGCAAGCCCCAAGTCTAGAACGAGCCACAATGAAACCACAAAATTCTAATCTTCAAGCCAAACCGGTGAAAGATGAAGTTATGCCAGATCATCTAGCCAAATCACCTTCGTTTAGCGGTTATCGACAAAGATGAATCGGAAGGAAAAAATCAGCTATAGCTGGTGGCTTCTAATTGAAGAACGTCTGAGGGAGATACACTTCTTGTGAATGAAATGGGAGGTCTAAAGACTTTCTTGCAAACAAAGTAGCTAGCCTTAGCGACTTTTGGAAGGAAGTGAGCTGTCGGCTGTGTCACTGAAGGATATCTTCTTTAGAAAAATATTGTGGGTGAGGGAGCCACAATCTTTTGCGTAGAAAAATTAAGATCATCTGTTTTGAAAGTGAAACGTTGGCTTTCGCGACCTATTAAAAAGAATTGAAATGTCGGTTGTGTCACTGAAGCATAGCCTTGTCACAAATGTGTCCAAGTTATCGTAATATATTCGGTTATAAAGCAGCGAATGAATTCGCAAGACACGTGGTCAAGATCGAACCGCCATCCTTTATTTATTTTTTTTACATATCCTTTACTATTACTTAATTTTGAAGTATATAATGGAAACCTTTTCGGCTTGTTTGTGCATAAATCGATTTGCCACTGCTATTCTGCATATCGAATGGAATTAGCTTTGATAACATGCCTCAATGTTACCATTGCAAACTTAAAAAAAAAAACTTACCTTGACCCTCCGTTAGTGGTACGGAAATGATAACGCCATTACTTGTGCCTATCCAGAGGCGGTTACATGACACCATCAATGCCGTTATTCGTACAAACGAAAAGCCCAATTTGCCAGTACCCAGCATCTTAGAAACATACGGTTCAATATCGACATCTTGTTTGTGTTCAAATGTATAGGTGTTGTACAAACGTAATGTGGAATCCAGTCTGTTGGAAAGAAAGTAAAAACAAAAAAAAAAAAAATAATTAACATTTCTCCTCAACATTTCTATTCCAAAACAAATATTCCGAGTTTAATTCGCTTCTTGTTACCTTATTGAAACCCACACACCAGCACCTGTTGCCGCCATCTGTCGTACTTGGCTCTCTTTGCGCGGATGGGCATCCAGCGAATGGATGACATTCAATGATATCGGATCGATAATAAATATCTTATTGCGATGAGCGGCCCATATGCGTTCGCCGGCCACACAGAGGCAACGTATCGAATGATTACGGTCACCTAGCGTAACTAGGTGATAACTATTCAGATCCCATTGGCCGTCTGTTTGGCGACGGAACACGGCTAATTGTGCATTTGCAAGGGCCACCACGACCCGTGACTCAACATGAACTATCGCTAGGACGGCATCCGGCAAGTGAACTTTATGCAAGCATTCATGCCAACGGCCAACAGAACTGTGCACATACAACCAACCATCTTGAGCACCCATCCACATGGTAGGACCCACCGAGCTCATGGCATCCTCTTGGCGATCCTTTGTTCCCAATATGGGATTGTTTGGTTTTGAGAAGGGTAGTTGTTGACTCAGTGAATTATTGTTGTTGCTGGTGGTGGTCAACGTTGTGACCATGCTGCTGCTGCCGTTGTTTGATGTAGCATTCGTGCTGGCATTGTTTGCATCATTTCGAAGACGTTGTGGAGCACCGGGTATGGGTTGACGTATTTTGATTTCATTAACATTGCCCAAGGGTTCAATGGGCACTGCTGAGCCATTCTGTTCGTTTGATTTTTCTGTAGCTTCCTTGGCCTTTTCTTCGACTGGAGTTTCGGCATTCACCTCCAGCGAAGGTTCAGCCGTATCTTTGGTATTGCTATTTTTATCCGACTTCGGTTTAACACGTACAAATTCAACTTTTCCAAGGCCTTCAGAGCCTTCGCCCGGCCTTTCCAGCATTTCGCCGGCCTTTATGACTTCTGAATTTTCCAATAAGGCATAATCCTTTTCCATGGCACCGGGTACAGAGGCAATGCACAACAAATGGGAGGCACAGACCGGGAACACATCTAACACCGTGGCCGATTGATTGGCATCGACCACAGTGACAGTACTGGCTGCATGTGTGCTCGTGCATATCCAGACATAAGGAGTCAATTGTGTCTCGGGCTCCAGATGTTCAAGGCTAGCTCGAGTAATTTGTCGATCTAATGCCTCGGCCGAATGTTCAGCTGAGGGACTGGTTATTTCGGCAATTTTTGCCGTAGAGCGAGGAGCAAACGGAGAATTACTTGGTATAATGCACTGGCCATTTTTGAAGAAGCCACCATTAAGATTAACACCAGCTGCACAAAAGACTTTCATGTGAGGCGAGGCCTCGGCCAAGGGATTACAATAGACTGGCACTGGTACACCACCAGAATGTCTGGTTTGGGGTTCTTTTTCTGTTTTGTTTACAGGCAAACTCCAGCCATAGGCATGCAGGCGACCGTCTTCCTTTTGGACGTGAGCCCGTAGTTGACGGTACTGTTCATGGCGCCTGGCCCGAGCTCTTTCCGAGGTACCTTCTTCGGTGTAATCTTTGTTGGGCAAGGCATTGGCTAGGCCAGCACTTGCCGGATGTGGCATGGGACCACCATCACGACCACCGGTTATGGCAAGGCGACTGTCGCTATTTCTACTGGGGGATCCGTGGGAGTGGGATGGGCTTGAGTAACGAAAAATAGGTCCACCCCCTTGGCCATCGCTGACACGCTCCGGTGGGCGATTGGAGGGGCTAAAGAAGGGATTATTAAATATCGATTAGATTAAATTTACAAATTAAGAAGTCATTGAAGGACTTACGTGAAAAGATTACTAAAATACTTCCAAATGCTTTGTTTAGATTTTTTATCAAGGTTGTCTACGGTACGCGATGCCCTTAGAATTTCCGTTAGACGCACAGCCTCTTGTAACTCCATTAAACGTTCCTTGTACTGATTACGTTCCATGAGCACCATGGCCATTTCGACGCGTGTAAAACGTTTGCGTTGGGCCAGCGGTACATCATTTTCATCCTGATCATTGTCTGCTGAAGTGAGAAGAGGAAGCGGAATGGAATTTACAATTGTTTGATAATTTTGATGTGTAGCTCAACTTACTTTGTTGCTTAACCTGTTCTTTGGTCTTTTTCAATTCTTCCTCCAGCTCTTGAACTTTGGTACGTAATTTATTCCTTGATTGCTGCATGGCATTCAGCTCCTCGCGCAATATTTCAATTTCACCGGTGAGTTCATCGACTCTGGCTATCAAATCATCTTTGACAATGTTAAGAGCATTCCTAAGGGGAAATTAAAAGGGAATTGGATTTAATAAACTTAAATGTGCAGATATATATGATGTGCATACTTAGTAGCCAACAGCTCATTGTTTTCCATGATGAGATTCTCCACCTCTTTGCCCATCCCTAAAAGAATAGAAATGAAATCCATTTTAATTGATTTTTAGTAATAATTTATTGTCATTGCAAACTACTACGGCACGAAAAAATTATTTACATTTAACGACAATGAAATCAATTATTACTTCAAATTATTCGAACGAGTACTAAAAATGTATTTTTATAATGGGGATTATACATAGGTTACAACCCTTAACCAAAGAGTGAAAAATTAATACAAAAGGAACCAAAATTATAAAGTTTTAATGGAAATATTAAGTAAAAAAATATATGAATCAAATGACGAATCTTCGAGATTCTTTAATTTGAATGCCCCCCTCGTTAATATTGTGAACTGGTATCATTTTATGTTGCCTAATAGCTCTGTAAACTCAAAACGTTTTTGTGTCTGTACTTTTAAAACTTTTTTTCAAGACCCAATTGGGAAACCCTTGGCTTGGAGAAACAACAGAAGATTTTAGAATAGAGGAAGAGTAATTAATGGAGAATTTCGGAGGACTAATTTATGTTCTTGCCAACATACGTTTATAACTATTTTAGATAGAGCTTCGAAATGTTTCACGGTCATTAATACTATACCGAGGATTTTTGGATATGGCCTCCACGGCATCTCTTGATTTTATGTATTTTAGAAGATTTTGAAACAATTTCCAAAAAAAATTTAAAGTTCTATGTGGGGAGATTAACTCCTTGCAAAGAAATGTAATGATTTTGGCACCAATTTCCAGACAAATGAACCGTTATTTCGAGATCTTAATGAGTTTATAAACTATTCTTAATTAAAATAGGTGTAGTTCCCACATAACAAAAGTTCAAAATTTGAAGTATTCTGAGGATAGTCGAGTTCTCATATGGCGTAGGATGAATGATCAATCAACCCGCCCGAACTTGATGACGTTTTTACTGGTTGTGTTCTTTTTAGAAAATTCTAAATTAAAATGCTGCACATTTTTATGAATAAAAATTATCTTGATGTAGCAGATTATGTACCAAGTACTAACATTTCCCATTTTCCAAATGTGTGTATTGTTATAACCTCCACCATAGTATGGAGGGTATATTAAGTTTGTTATTCCGTTTGTAAAACCTCGAAATATACATTTTAGACCCCACAAAGTATATGTATTCTTGAGCAGCATAAAATTCTATGTCGATTTAGCGATGTCCATCCGTCTGTGGAAATCACTCTAGCTTCCGAACGAAATGAAGTAGATTGATAAAATTTTACTCAAATGTATATTATGTCTGCAGGACTTTTGGTATTGAAAATGGGCCATGTAGGTCCACGTTTTGGTATAGTCCCCATATAACGCTACCTCCCGATATTCGGTATTTTGATGATTTTAGGTATTTTTAAGATTTTAATAGAATTTTATTGTTTTTGAGAATTGCCAAATTCGTTCCAAATGGTGAAGAGTATTCAAAGTTCGGCCCGGCCGAACTTACAGCTTTTTTACTTGTCTATATATACATATATTAGAATTAAATGAAACTCGAAATGAAGTATTTTTCAAAAAAAAGTAATGAAATAAACTCTTAATGTAAAAAATTTGCATGACATTGGAAACAAAAATACCAACACCAAGAAATCAAATGTACATATTTCTACATATTTTTACATGTACTTTATATTAATTCAATTGTAATTCGAAAATTCTCTGTAACATTTTCTTCCATTTCCTCATCTGACCTAAGGTTGATTCAAATATTAACTATAAATTGGGAATGATCAGGCACACGTGGGGAAATTTCACATAGTGCATCAGCTGTTAGCTGCTGACCGCCAATCGCGTATAACATACACTCAAGCCATCCTTAATCACCAACCAAGAAGGAGATGATTTTCCATCAAAAAAAATTCATGAGTGATGAGACCTATTTCCATATTACCGGGTATGTAAGTAAGCAAAATTTACGCCTCTGGGGCACTGAAAATCCCCGTGTAACCCACGAAGAGCCGTTATACCCGTTCATAGTCACTGTATAGTCGGACCCCTTTTCTCAGAAGACGTCGCGAACCAAACGGTTACTGTGAAAGCAATGTGATTGCAAAACATGTGGTTGCAACGGCACACACTGCACGTGCCACAATCGATATGCTGAAGGATGCATTTCTCGGGCGCCTTATCTTCCGTTTTTGCGATTTGCATCACCTGATTTGACCGCTTCACACTTTCTTTTGTGAGCTTTGTAAGGTCGCGGGTTTATATCAACAAGCCTTCAGCTCTTAAAGACAATATCCGTCAAGAATGTGAGGACCTATCGCCGGAAGTTTTGGACAAAGTGATGGCAAATGCCATAAATAGGGCTCAAATGACAATAAACTGTGGCGGCGGTCATCTACATGACATTATATTCTCGACTTAATGTAAAAAAATTAAGAGACCAAAAAAAAATAATCCACAAGAAAAATCAAAGTTTTTCTTTATTTTAATTGCTGCCAAAATCACATGGGATGTTTACTTTTGCGCCACATCAAGGCCTTCTATAGACAACAGAAGACCTTAATGTCTTCTAAGGGTAATATATAACCTCAAGCATTTCTTCTAAACAGACCTAGGATCTAAAACCGTTATTGCGATGAGACACGTTTTGCCCGTATCATATATGGCTGATAAATATCGTATGACCATGAGGAAGTCGGTGGCTCATAAATATAATTCACATTTAAAACTAAGCCTTCAAAGCGCATTTCGCATACCTATTACTTGAAAGTTATTTTTTGTTTTAAATGAAATGTAAAATTACCTCAATTTCTTCTAAAGACAGATCTAAGGGTCTTCTATAGACAGTAGAAGTCCTCAAGGTCTTCTATAGATAATATAAGGCCTCAATATTTTCTATAAACAACAGAAATCCCCTGTGTCTTCTATAGACAACAGAACACCTCAAGGACATTTATAGGCAATAAAAGACCTCAAGGACCTCTACAGAAAATGGAAGACAGCAGACATAGATGTTATTTGAAACACTTACTATTTTTAACATTCTAATAAGCAACAAAACAATTAGCTTCCAAATCCAAATTATTAATATGAACTCTACACATGGAAAAATTTTCGAATTTCAAATGAAAATAATTTAAAATACATTTAAAAATAAAATTAAAAATAAATTCTAATCAAACTACAACAAACCACACATTAAACTACAGCTACTTTATAAGAGAGTGATACGAAAAAAAGGTATTGGAAAACGCAACTTACCAAAATAGTTGTCATTAGCTTTTGTAATAGCAAATTTTGTGTTTATCGATTGGCATGTAAAATAACAACAATATTACAAACACACGATGAAAATCCGGAGGACAATGGCAAAATACACATGGGATTTGTGTTTGGTATGTTTTTGGTTTGATTTTTGGAAAGCGTATTTTGTTTTTGAGTTTTATGATATCGGTTGTTTTGAAAACGAAAAAACAACGACAGCATTTTTTCGGGGTTTTTTTAAGAAAATATAAAACAACAAGATATGAGAAAAAAATTATGAGTATTTCTTGCTTTACAAATATTTGTTTTATTTGCTGTTGTAACGAAAGGAACTTATAAACACACAAAATAATGTACATAACAGTTAATAAATAGCAATAATAATACTTATTATTTGAGAACAATTGGTATTTTCTTTCTTTTTTTCTGGTTAGGAATTTAAAATTCATTGTCGAGTATTTTAAGTTGTCCGTCATATTGTTGTGTTGCGTTGCGTCGCGTCTTGGAGTCAAAAGTTGATATGTATTATGTGATGTTTTAAATATTTACACGTAATGTACATAAAGCCATAGAAATATGAGTTTTGATACCTACCTGAAGAAGCATATTCCCCAGGATGTACCCAGCTCCCTATTGGATGGGATTGCATAGATTTTTGTGTTTATTGTTGTTGCATTGCACATTCAAACAGGAAGTAGGCAGAGAGGCAATTAGATGATGCAGTATATGAATATTTAATTTTGTTTTTTGTATTCATTTTAATTGTTGATATTGTGCAGTGTTGAGTATTGTTGTATTGTGTAGCAATATTTGGTTTATTCACACAAATAATACATGGACAAAAAAAGAAATATACAAAAGAAAGAGAACAAAAAAGATTTTATGTATAAGAATAGAATTATTCTTTTTTAGAAAAAATTGTATAGAACCCTCCTCCCCCATTTTCTGATTTATACACACATAAAATATATATTTGTTTTAATACTGAGCTTGGGTTATAATTCAAATAAAACACAATACAAAACATACATATCTGCCTGTCGATACATACCTGTAACAATTTCGTTATCTTCGCTCTCTTCATTATCTTGAAAGGACAGCTCTTGGTACAAAGTATTGGCAGAGCGTTGTTCCTTTTTCGTAGTCGTACGACCAACTGTTCGTTTGTGTGGGTGTGTGTGTTTTTATTTTGGGTGAATATGCGTTGTTGAAACAATAAAACAAATGCAACAAAATAATGTTGGATTGAGTTTTTTTGGGAAGGATATTTATAATTTTGGTAACAGGACACATTTTACGAGGAGAGGAGGTAGCGAGAGAGCACGTTGCGACGGAATACAATGACAGGATTTTGGTTGGACGACAAACATCATTTCATTTGGAATTTTCATTTTGTTGGGTGGTGGTGATGTTGTTGTTAATTTGGTGAATTAGTTGGGTAGTTGTGTGTAAAATAAGAACAAAAAGTAGGAATAGTATACGGTTAACACAATATATATAGGTAAGTAGTTGTAGGTTAAATTGTTGTTTGTAATACGAAGGAAATTTTTTTGATAAGTTAGTGGATGGGGAATCAAAATGGAAGGAAGGTAAATGAACGCAAAATGCAATCAAATGACAAAAGAAATAAAAATGTTGTTTTTAATGAAAAATCGTTATTAGTAAGGAATGTCATTTATCAAAAAAAAGAAACTTGTAAAATGCATAGTTCTATATATAGATTTAAACCAAGCCAAGCTAAATTTTATAACCACATGTGACCCATGTTTCCACCTTCAAAGATAATGGCTGCAACCAGAGACATAACAGAAATTCATCATACCACGGCAACGGGTTCTAAGACACCGGATTCAATCATGCCACACTACCCTCCGGGCAAGTTTGAAACGTTGGATAATCAACTATATGTGTGGACGCCAGTCGTACGTGGAATTCCGGAACAAGAAGTCCAAAGCCTGTAAAGTGAAATAGGGAGTTCCCCAAGGATATCTGTTTAACCCCTACCTTTCCGGAATTCCCCGCCCTCCAGACGGCATTGAGATCGTAACGTATGCGGATGATTGTACGATCATGGCGTCGGGCCCAGTGGTCGATGACATTTGCGAAAGGCTGAACCCCTATCTCGCGGAACTTGCCGCATACTTCCACGCGAGGAATATGAAAATATCCGCCACGAAATCAACGGCCACACTCTTTACCACATGGTCTGCGGAGATGAGAACACAACTGAATGTTCAGGTCGAGGGGAATATAAGATTCTTGGGGTCACGTTCGACAGCATGTTCAAGTCGTCCGCGCAAGCTACAGCTATCTGCGACAAGATGAAAAGCAGGAACAAGGTCCTCAAGGCGCTAGCCGGCAGCTCTTGGGGTGCGAACAAAGAAAACTTGTTGATCTCTTATAACGCGATAGGTCGGTCTGTGCCCTTCCCTTACGTCAGTACCTCGGAGTGATAGAACGAAGCGAAGAGTACTACGTCGTATAACATCTCTTCCCGCTGAGGAGTCTTTCCCAGACATATATAACAATGGTAATGCTCAAGCAGCTGAATACACCGGGAAATGAAAGTCTCAATAAAGTCCTCAACCTGTCGTTAGCCATTCAGATAGCTACCGAAGTCTGGAAAATGGGAAGGATGTTCCCGCTATTGAAGACAGGTAAGGATGTCAGCAAAGGCGAATCAGACAGGCCAATTTCAGTTTTATTCTTCGCCAGCTAAGAGGAAATTATCCAGTTGCCTACCATCAACAGGGTTTCCGATCAAACTCAACTCAAATTAGTCGAGGAGTCAACCAGAATAGGACATGCCATAGAACAATAGTGGTTGATCTTGACTTATCAAAGGCCTTGACGGTCAATCATGCCACGCTGCTCAAGGATGTTAAGAACAGTACCCTCCGGAAGTGTATGAATCGTTGGATAGTCAATGATATGTGTCATACATAGATTTCCTGAAAATAAAGTCCAGAGTGAAACAGGGAGTTCCCCTAGGTTGGGTAAAATCTCCGGAACTGTTTAATCTCTACCTTTCCGAAATTCAGCGCCCTTCACACAGTATCGAGATCGTAACCTGTGCGAATGATTGTACGATCGTGGCGTTGGATCATGTCGACGTGTGTCAGGCGGAGCTTTCCGGCTTCTTCCATGCAAGGAATATAAAATATCCGCAACCATAGCAACAGCCACACGATTTACCACATGGACTGCGGAGATGAGTTACAATTGAAAGTGCAGGCCGAGGGGCACGCAATTCCTACCAATCAAATACCTCAATATCATTGGGGTCACATTGGACAACATGTTTAAGTCGGCCACGCAAATCAAAAGTATCTCCGATAAATTAAAAGGAAGGAACGAGGCGAAAGGCGAAGGCTGGCAGCACTTGTGGCGCTAATAAGAAATCCTTTTTGGGCTATAGGTCAGTGTGTGGTTAGCTATGCGGCGTAAGTGTGGTCTGCGAATATGAGTGCAACGCAATGAAAGGTATTCAGACCTGCCAGAATGCCGGCCGGGAACTGAAAGAGGGTGCCTCCTCATGACTTCTTTGAACCATTTATATGAGGAGACCAATGTTCTTCCCATATGTCAGAAAAATCATACGCTTTCGTTGCAGTACCTGCTTGGGTGTTATTGCGTGAGTCATCCAAAACATTATATGGTGGACAGAACTACTTCCCATGTCAGACGTAATCTAGTAATTTAATTTTCTTTTTTTAACATTTATAGAACTATGCATTTTCAATTTCTTTAGATCGATCAAACTAAAAATCAAATATTTTGCAAAACAATAGATAATAAGCAAATGATGTGAATACAAACCGTTAGATGGTATATTTGGCACAGTGGGACTACTATCACTTTGTGGTGAGGTGGCTTGATTTTGTTGTTGTAATGTGTCGGTTTCAGCCGCCCTCTCTACCGTCTGTAGATTATCGAATTCATTTTGTAACGAAGGTGGACCTGAGTCATCCGAATTGCTGCCAACACTGCAAATTGTTTCCGTATCTAACATGGCGGAATTTTCCAGCGAAGCAAAACCAAATGATACGGGACCAGATGATCTGGAGGTAAAGAAGAAAGAGAAAAAAAAAAAACATTTTAATTTTATTTCTCATTTGCTTATTTAGGATAAAAAGACTTACCTCGCCACTGGATTTAATCTTGCTCGACTCAATTCCATGCGTTCGGATGTTGAGCTCATTTGGGAATGGGTTGAACCCATTAGCATTTTGGTACGTTCCATATAATCTACATGATTTTTAAATAATTCTGTATACCGTTCGTGGAGTTTATTGTATTCCTAATTGTTGCAAAGAAATATAGTTTTAGTTGATTATTCTCCAATAAGATTTCAGAAATGCTTACCTTTTTCAAATCGGATTCACGTTCCTCCAAACGGCTGGCATGTTCTAAACTATTTTTATGCTTTAATTCTAACATTCGTACTATACTCTCTAGGGACTCGAGGCGACTTGCTAGCTCTTTGTTTTCCTGCTCCGCCAAATCTTCCGATTCCAGCAGCTAAAATGAACAAAAATTATTTATAATTATAAAAATTATTATAATTAAATTATTAAAAAAATTTTATATAATTTTGAAAATTACCTTTTGTTCAGCCTGCTTTCTTGCACTTTTCTCCCGTTCATATTGTGTCACCAGTTGCTCATTATCTTCTCTCAACAGCTCCAATTCCACATCCTGTTCTTGATTTATGCGATATGATGCATCCAGGCATTCTAGCACGTTAACCAGCAAGGGCATTAGGTTCTTAACCACATCTTCATCATAGCAATTTATCATGCGTTCAAACTCTTGATAAATACTTCCGGCTAATTGTTGCACCTGTGGTTAAGTGTTTGATAAATATCACAGCACCAGATAGGAAGAGACACAGAAAGAGAGGGAGAGAAAAGAAAGATACATACATTTAAAACAATGTGCAAATATTTACAAAAAGAAGTGAGCCTCTTAGATATTGGATTATAAATACGAAGTGTTTAATTATATTAATGAATAATGTACACTTTGTTACACAAATCCGGTAATTTATATCAGCAATTTGAGATATAGAGAAAGTCATTAACAAGAGAAAAATGAATATGATATATTGTAGAATCAGTTTAATAATGAATATGAGACCTGGTAAAGTTACCATACAGGGTGAGATAAAAAAATACTGCAACAAAGTCAAACGCCATAATTTTTACTTTTTTTAATTATATTGAATGAAAGCAAAAAATTAAACCCACGTCATGGTGGCCGAAAAATGGCTCGTGAGGTGAACATATCGCAATGTTCCATTCGGCAAATATTGAAAAATGAGCTCGGGGTAAAGCCATTGAAACTCCAAAAAGTGCAAAAACGTACACCGCAACAGAAAGAAAATAGACTCAAAAGAGCTAAAGTGCTTGTCTGAGTGGTGATCTGCCGAATTTGGTTTTCTCCGATGAGAAAACATTCGTTGTCCAGCAGTTTGTAAACAAACAAAATGATCTTGTTTAGTTGCCAAAGAAGTCAGCTGTAAATGTGCACCTTCGGTTGGCTACCAGAACTCAAGCGCCTGCCATGGCGCTCAACATGGTGTGGACCGCCAAAACAGCCGATGGTCCCCCTCCGCTCGTATTTATCGACCGTGGCATCAGAATAAATGCCGAATATTATCGCGAAAATATTCTTGAGGGTCTTTAAAAGCCTTGGGCACGCAAACATTTTGACCGCAGACCTTGAACATTCCAACAGGACTCAGCACCATCGCACTCAGCACGAGCCACCCAAGAACAATTACAAAATGAGGTTCCTCGCTTTATTTTCAGCGCACAATGCCCACCAAAATCTCCGGATACCAATTCGTTGACTATTGTGTCTGGAGTATTTTGGAAAGCAAGGTACTAAAAAATATCAAAGTGTCGATCATCTCAAGCAAGCGCTTCGCCGGGAATGGGCCAAAATACCGCAGAGCAACATTCGGGCAGCGTGTGACGTTTTTAAAGGCCATAATTTGTGCCAAAGGTGACCACTTCGAACAAATCTAAACTTATTCTAAAATTTGATGCTATTTCCGACCTTTTTTACTTTCATTCAATAAAATTTTTAAAAAAAATGTAAAAAATTATGGCGTTTGACTTTGTTGTAGTTTTTTATCTCACCCTGTAAGTGGGATTGTATATATATATATATTCGAAATGTTTTGTAGTAATTGGTGCTAAAACGTAATTAGAAAACCTATAATTTGGTAAAGAGATTCTTTTGTGAGCTCTCAAATTTCAAAAATTTGGAATTTTTGAAAATGTTGCAGGCCAATAAAAAAAAACAAGACAATGTTATTTAAATTTTAAAAACTACATTATCTTCTATTCGAAAAAATGTATAACAATTTTAAATCGTGCGCAGATAGAATAATATCTGGGATAATTTTTCTTATTTTCATAATTTGAATACTTTTTTTTAAGTTATTTTACAATCGAACTTGCTGAAATTCCAAGTATGTAGTGCACAAATATTTTGACCACAATATAAATAACCGACAACTCATATCAGTTAATATTAAATACAAATCAAATCATTTGGTTGTGAATGAAATGAATCAGCAAACGTGGAACTCACAGTCATCCATACATACGTTATGAATGAAACACCGTCATGTCTATGAATTTGAGTGTAATAAAGATTGTTGTACATACTTAGATTATGAGATGCCATAATGTCTGTCAATGAAAAGGGTTATTCAAAAGTTCATAACACTTTTTTAATTATACTAAATATTTCGAATCTAAAATGACTTTTAAAAAAAGAGAATTTAAAAAATATTTTAAAAACATAATTTCCTCCTTCCATTGTTATACCCTACAACACTATGTGTTGGGGTATTATAAGTTTGAGCGGGGCAAAATGTATGTAACACCTCGAAATATTGGTTTCCCACATAGGAACGTATATTTGATCTTTCTATCTCGCCGAGCTGAGTCGATCTAGCTATGTATGTCCGTCCGTCCGTCTATCCATGTTAATTTGTAATCAGCCTACAGGTTGCAATTATGGCCCGATCCTCACGAAATTGAAAATGGAGGTGGGGTTAGGATCAGAGTATAACCCTATTTTTTTTTTGGAGATGATTGCAAAATATTTTGGTGTTGAAATGGACCAAAAACAGAAGATTCTCCTGACTTTGCGACGCCAAAATTTACATGAAGTCAGACTTTAGAACTGGGCAGAAGCCATCAGACAATATTTTGCGGGTAAAAAAGATCCTGACTGTTATGTAAGAAAATACGAATATTTTTAATCCCAGCCATATCACAAACACATTAAAAGGTCACTTCTGACCATTAAAGTAATGCTGCTGGACAAGAAATCCGATCATAGCTAAATAGGTAAAAAGAAATAGATCTTATTTATTCTGCTTATGAGTCAAGAACCGCTGGGCCGATTTTCACAATTCACATCAATTCGGAATGGTCTCTTGCCAGAAAATGAAAAAATTAAGAAAATCCCGGAAAATTGTACCAATAAAAAAGGGAATACTTTTTGTTCCATTTTTTTCTATTTTTATCATTTTTTTTTACTTACAATTTTGAATTGTAAATTTTCTAAATTTTTACACAGCGCAACACTACGCTTTGAGTGTATTATAGACATGTCGCAATTATCGTCCGATATATATATATATTTAGCTGTAAAACCTAACAACACGACGGAGTGCGTAAATATTGGGCAAATTCCCCGGGTCAAAAACCTAAGGACAGGGCTCTATGACCTTACCATATCTTCCAAAATGCATTTCTACATAAGGGGACTTTGAACATATTACATGGTCGGCCCCGCACGGCTATAGGCTTTGCTTACTTGTTATGAGTAACCTTCTTTAAAAATATAATAAAAATTTCTTAATATTCAGACTTCTATACGCTTTCTACTGTAATTATAGACTAGCTTTTTGTTTTTGTTTTGGTGACTTGCACTGACCAGCAAGATTACCTGATTTGACCGCTCCAGACTTCCTTCTGTGGGGCTTTTTAAGTTCGCGGTTTTATGTCAACAAGCCTCAGACACTTTAAGCTCTTAAGGACAACATCAGACAAAAATTTGAGGACCTATCGCCGGAAGTTTTGGCTAAAGTGATGAAAATCCCATTAAAAGGCTCAAATGACAATAAACTGTGGGGCGGCCATTTACACGATATCATATTCTCGACTTGATGCGAAAAAAAAATAAAGAAAAATATCGGAAGTTTACTTTTGCGCCACCTTGTATATTTATATATTCATGATCAGCATAAAATTCTAAGGCTCTATGACCTTACGATATCTTCCAAAATACATTTCGACATAAGGGGACTTCGAACATATTACATGGTCGGCCCCGCACGACTATAGCTTTTGCTTATTTGTTATGAGTAACCTTTTTTAAAAATATAAAAAAAATTGTTAATATTCAAGTCTTCTATACGCTTTCTACGCTGTAATTATTAACTAGCTTTGCAAAAAATGTGTATTACCCACCGAGAAAACCCATTAGGAACTTGTTCAGTTTATTTTTTGTTTACCTTAGGAAATTGAAAACCTTTACCAGCCACCACATCACCACCTGCCGCCGTCCGTTTGTCAAATGGACATTTGTGACACATTCAAACGCGAATTGTATGGAAGAAATAAAATACGGCTAAATGTTAAGTGTATCATGGGAAAAATACTTAAACAGCACATCACACCTCGGCATCGTTGTCACTAGCATCTCAAATGTTGTTTTTTGTATTTTTTTTTTCTCTCATTCCGAACGCTACGAGACATTGTAACTTTTTAACGTTTTTTTTTTTCTTTGTATTGAAATCAAAAGCGCCTACATTAAATTAAAGGGGGCTACTACTGCTAAGAGAGAAGGGGCCGCATCTGTTGTACAAGGCCACTTGACCTTGATTTTACGAACGAAATAAGGCAGTACATGGCTGCAACACAATAGTACAAAACTAGTTTAAATGTTTTTTTTTCGTTCTCTTTAAAAATGTTAATATTCAAATAAAACTTTAATGGTAAATGAAATAATTAACAACACACAGTCACAAAACAACAAATATTTTACACCAAAAATACATAATTAGGGAATTCAACGTGAATTGAGTAAAGCAATGAGTAATGCGAAAAATTCAATATTAAATATCCCAATTACTATCCAAATTAATAATAAAAAAAAAAAACTAAAGGCAAATTTGAACTCCAAAGAGTGGGAGAGGTTAAAAAGTCGGGTTTTGTGACACCCTATGTTTCGCATTTGATTTAAATCTGACACAAAAATTACAGGTTCCGACTGTAGCCGATATAGTCGGAACCTGTAATTTTCTTCGCTTTATATGAGATGTATACAAGGTGGAGCAAAAGTAATCCTCCTATCAGAAAATGCTATACATTTTACTTTTGGTCGCTAATGCCAGTTCTGTTTTGATATTTCTGTACGCTGCACTGCCCCAGAACGCGGAATATTGGTAGCTATTTATTTGACCAATAATCGGTCGGCGACAACAAAAGATGCTGCCAGGCGTGGTACAACCCGGAGTATCCGTTCTGCCGAGAATATTGCTACTGTAGGCGAGGATGTCATGTAAGCGACTTCGACCCGACGACGTGCCACATAACAGTCGACGGTCTTTACAGCGAATTCTGGTACAAGATTTGAAGATGTTTCCGTTCAAAGTCCAGATAGTGCGTCAGCTGTTAGCTGCTGACCGCCAATCGCGTCTAACATACGCTCAAGCCATCATTAATCACAACCAAGGGGGTGGTTTTTCATAAAAAAAAACTTTGGGTGATGATGCCCATTTCCATCTTAGCGGATACGTAAATAAGCAAAAT